AAAAAGATAATGAAAAATAATAAAGAAGCTTGTTTTTACCAGGTAGCTCTGCTGGGGATCTTCTAAAATAGGTGCAATGCCGTCCATCCTCAGAAGAATAAGGCGGAGAAAGGATGTCGAAGATGGCACACGGAGTTATAGCTTTGAAACAGTGAATGTTTCCTCCACTTGTTGGGTATAGAATCGTTGTGTCACATGGGGCTTTCATTTCACAGTCCCGCACAACTTTTGTAGGCCTGGCTCCTGATAATGATCAAGATATTCTATAATTTCAGTTTACTAAGTATGTGAAACTGACTCTTGTCTTCGTTTGGGATTTCGAGTTACATTTTTTAGAGTTTTTGAGATTCGAGACTTTTTAAGATTTTCAGGTTTTGGAGGAATCATGTGAAATCATAAGTCTCCATTTTGAGTGGGCAGAAAATCTTAAAAAAGTCTTAACAAATCCTAGTCTCAAATAAGTTATAAATATCTCACGATTTTGTAAGACTTTTTAAAATCCCAAATGAATACCCCAAGACTTATAAAAGTCTTAAAATGTCTAAATTAAATACACCAAGATTTCTAAAGTCTTAAAAAGTCTTTAGAAATTTTAAATGAATACACCCCCCTAAGACACTAGATAAGAGATAACATTACTCGTGGAATCCAGAGAAGATTGCAATTTGAACACTCTGGATCGTAAGATGGACAATAACAAAACATAAAGGAAAAGCTTCAGATTTTGTCTCATATTATTTTTCCCAGTACGTGTGCGCACAACGCAGCCAGAACAAAAACGGTCTGGGTTTAAAAGAAAAGCCGAGTTCATACAATTACCGATCAGAATTCCTCCTTCCAATTTGTTAAAACAAATAATATACCCCAAATATAAAATCTCATTAAAATAAATATTCATTGAGAATTCCTACAGGAAACACAGGAAACCAGTAGCATCAAAGCAGCAAAAAGAAAATGTACATACGCCTAAAAATATTCAACCTTTAGATGGATCGGAAGTCCCAGGTGCATTGATCCAATCATAGGATTTTACATGCAATGAACCATACAAAAGCTTACTCAGCACCGTCATCCCAGGATGATTATGAAGAGGAATGATAGAGGAAGGTGGCATACAGAATATTCCCATCTGGCAAAAGAAGATTGTCACTTTCATCCAAAACACATGGCCCCAGGTGTTCCAAAATCATAAATATCATGTATACACATCATCAATGTTTGGTTGTTCATTCAAATTATATAGAACTGGAACTTGGCCAACAGAACGGAAAAAGAATTTTAACAAAGAAGCCAAAGAATTAAAATCAGGCACAGCATTAGGAAAATACTTACAGAGAAGCCATCGCACTCATGCACATGCAGGTATTTGATTGTGGGAAACGAACGATGACTGCCATTGCTTTCACTGAGGGAACCTTTCCAATTCTTTACTAGTTGTGCCTCTTGCTCAAGACCAACATCAGCAGGCTTGATTTTTTCTGATGGAAAAAGGAGGAGTGTAAATAGAACAAGCGAGCAACTTACACCAGTTTCAAAACAAGTTCTTCTAAAATTACAAATATAAACTAGTATAACATATTATAATCCAACTAAAGATAAATAAATACTCTGGACTAAAAATTCAAGGTCAATTGTAGGTGGAAAGTTCAATAGCAGAATGCCAAATTTGTAACTCACCTGCGTT